GGAAAAGCGAGATATTATATATGATAAAAATACGGAGGAGGAGGAAAAGCAATATATTATATATGATATAAATACGGAGGAGGAGGAGGAAAAGTGAGATATCATATAAATGATATAAATATGGAGGAGGTGGAAAAGCGAGATATTATATATGATAAAAATACGGAGGCGGAGGAAATGTGATATATTATATATGATATAAAATTTGAAATATCACCTTATTGTTTATGATATTCACCGGTGGATATACTCATACTTACGTTATCATATATGCCACACACGATTTAGAGTTGTTTCCCTTGACCACACTACATGTGTACCAACCCAACTTAACTCCACCATAAACCGTCTTCACAGGACAAAACACTTGTAGGGTATTCACATAGCTGTAATTATAACAATGGGTTAGGGTTAGGGTTGTCCACGGGACAAAAAACTTGTAGGGTGTTCACATAGCTGTAATTATAACAATGGGTTAGGGTTAGGGTTAGGGTTGTCCACAGGACAAAACACTTGTAGGGTGTTCACATAGCTGTAATTATAACAATGGGTGTAGGGTATTCACATAGCTGTAATTATAACAATGGGTTAGGGTTAGGGTTGTCCACGGGACAAAAAAACTTGTAGGGTGTTCACATAGCTGTAATTATAACAATGGGTTAGGGTTAGGGTTAGGGTTGTCCACAGGACAAAACACTTGTAGGGTATTCACATAGCTGTTATTATAACAATGCAAAATAAAACAAAATTTTCTTATTTCTATTGTAGAAAAATATTTTAACTCTATATCATGTCCACCTAATTATGATTTTTACCTGTGAAACAAACGATGAGTTGTTATCATTACATTTTTAGGTACTTTTCAACACAGAAGACGTAATTGAAGCAAGTAAAAGGTCGAAATATTGACATAGAACGATCTTTAATATCTACGAAAACGTCAACTTGATTATTAAAAGCGACTATGGTTAGTGATATATACATGTATACCTTTTAAGTGCATTGAAGCTTTTCTTCGCGTTACAGTAAATAAATATAGGTATTGCCTAAATGACACATCCGAAGACGGGACGATAGCTTTCTCGATAGGTAAGACACGATTTACCGACTATAGGTTTTATAGAGCGTAATTTATAATACTTAACATCACCCAATAGAAATAACATACTTCAACACTTAATGACAAATCGTACATGTCAGCTGCCAAAACAAACACCATACTTCAACATTTAATGACAAATGAAACATGTCAGCTCTCAACACAAACACCATACTTCAACACTTAATGACAAATGAACCATGTAAGCTATCAACACAAACACCATACTTAAACACTTAATGACACATATAACATGTCAGCGCTCCAAAACAAACACCATACTTCTACATTTAATGACCAATATTACATGTCAGCGCTCCAAAACAAACACCACACTTCAACACTTAATAACCAATATTACATGTCAGCGCTCCAAAACAAACACCATACTTCAACACTTAACGACAAATATTACATGTCAGATCTCAACAAAAACATCATACCTCAACATTTAACGACAAATATTACATGTCAACGCCCTAAAACAAACACCATACTTCAACATTTCACGTCAAATATTACATGTCAGATCTCAACACAAACATCATACTTCAACACTTAATGACCAATATTACATGTCAACGCTCCAAAACAAACACCATACTCCAACACTTAATGACCATGTCAGCGCTCCAAATCAAACACCATATTTCAACACTTAATGACCATGTCAACGCCCTAAAACAAACACCATACTTCAACACTTAACGACAAATATTACATGTCAGATCTCAACAAAAACATCATACCTCAACATTTAACGACAAATATTACATGTCAACGCCCTAAAACAAACACCATACTTCAACACTTCACGTCAAATATTACATGTCACATCTCAACACAAACATCATACTTCAACACTAAATGACCAATATTACATGTCAGCGCTCCAAAACAAACACCATACTTCAAAACTTAATGACCATGTCAGCGCTCCAAATCAAACACCATATTTCAACACTTAATGACCATGTCAACGCCCTAAAACAAACACCATACTTCAACACTTAACGACAAATATTACATGTCAACGCTCAAAAACAAACACCATACTTCAACACTTAATGACAAATATTACATGTCAGATCTCAGCACAAACATCATACTTCAACACTTTATGACAAACATAACAACTTACCGCTCCAAAACAAGCATCATACTTCAACACTTCACGACAAATATTACATGTCAGCACTTAATGACCAATATCATATGTCAGCGATCCAAAACAAACATCTAACTTCAACACTTAAAGACCAATATTACATGTCAGCTCTCAACACAAATACCATACTTTAACACG